CACTGTTTCCACTGTTTCCCCATCTATTTGCCATGAAGTGATGGGACCAGATGCCATGATCTTCGTTTTCTGAATGTTCAGCTTTAAGCCAACTTTTTCACTCTCCTCTTTCACTTTCTTCAAGAGGCTTTTCAGTTCCTCTTCACTCTCTGCCATAAGGGTGGTGTCATCTGCATATCTGAGGTTGATGTTTCTCCCAGCAATCTTGATTCCAGCTCATGCTTCTTCCAGCAAAGCGTTTCTCATGATGTACTCTGCATATAAGTTAAAGAAGCAATAAATACCATCTATTGTTTGTCACTGTTATTCACTCGGTCTTGTCCAACTCTTCTGCAACCTCAGGGACTGCAGCACGCCAGGCTTGCCTGTCCTTCACTATCTCCCAGAGCTTGCTCAAACTCAGATCCTTTGAGTCAGTTATGACATCCAACCATCTTGTTCTTTATCATCCCCGTTTCCTCCTGCTTTGATCTACCCAAGCTTCAGGGCCTTCTCTAATGAGTTGACTCTCTGCATCAGGTGGCCAAAGGATTGGAGATCCAGCTTCAGCATCAGTCCTTCTAGTGAATATTCAGGATTGAGTTCCTTTAGGATTGCTTAGTTTGATCTCCGTGCAGTTCAAGGGACTCTCAAGAAACTTCTCGAACACCGCAGCTCAAAAGCATCAATTCTTTAGCACTTAGCCCTTTTTATGGTTCAACTCTCACATCCATACATGACTACTGAGAAGAACATAGCTTTGACTATACAGACCTTTGTTGGTGAAGTAATGGCTATCCTTTTTAATACTATGGCTATCCTTTTTAATACTAGAAGTCCCCTACTGGTTCTGTCATCTGGAGAACCCTGACTAATACAATAATCCTTTTCTTAACAGTCATGAAATGTTATGGCATAAAAAGGCATTATACTATATGTACTCTAATAATAATCTAAAAATAATCTCTAATAATAATGTACTCTGACAAATAATACCCCAGGAAGGTACATGAATGTATAAAAATATGTGGATATGAACACACACACATACAGATATACATGTATTTGTGATTTATGGTTTATATATATGCAAAATTATGTGTGTAAAAAATTGAATTGAGGAATCTAGAAATAGCTTAATATAATCACATAATGATTGTGTTTTTACATAACATTACTTTTCACTATTCTTGGAAATTTTTGTAAGCTTGAAATTATTTCAAAACATTTTAAAATATAAATAACTTTTAATTTTGCTATTGAAACTTGTTGATTTGCAATGTTAGTTACAGGTGTACAATATCCTTGGATCTTATTTATTTTATACTTAGTACTTTATACCCTTAGTTCCTTTCCCATATCCTTCCCTCCCTCCCTTTCTTCTCTCCCCAATGGGAATAGCTAAGTGTTCTCTGTATCATTATAGAAAATACCTTCTTCCAACAACACAAGAGAAGACTCTACACATGGACATCATGAGATGGTCAATACCAAAATCAGATTGATTATATTCTTTGCAGCCAAAGATGGGGAATTTCAATACAGCCAGCAAAAACAAGATCGGGAGCTGACTGTGGCACAGACCATGAACTCCTATTTGCCAAAAGACTTAAATTGAAGGACATAGGGAAAACCACTAGATCATTTGGGTATTATCTAAATCAAATCCCTTACAGTTATACAGTGGAAGTGGCAGATTCAAATGATTAGATATGATAGACAGAATGCCTGAAGAACTATGGACAGAGGTTTGTGACATTGTACAGGAGGCAGGGATCAAGACCATTCCTGAGGAAAAAAAATGCAAAAAGGCAAAATGGTTTTCTGAGGAGGCCTTACAAAAGCTGTGAATAGAAGAGAAGTGAAAGGCAAGAGAGAAAAGGAAAGATATACCCATTTGAATGCAGAGTTCCAAAGAATAGCAGGGAAAGATAAGAAAGACTTCCTGAGTGATCAATACAAAGAAATAGAGAAAAATAATATAATGGGAAAGTCTAGAGATCTCTTCAAGAAAATTAGAGATACCAAGGAAACAATTCATTCAAAGATGGGTTCAATAAAGGACAGAAAAAATATGGACCTAAAAGAAGCAGAAGATTTTGAAAAGAGGTAGCAAGAATACACAGAACTATAAAAAAAGATCTTAACAACCCAGATAATCACGATGGTGTGATCACCAACCTAGGAAGTATCACTACGAACAAAGCTAGTGGAGGTGATAGAATTCCAGCTGAGCTATTTTAAATCCTAAAACATGATGCTGTGAAACTGCTACACTCAACATGCCAGCAATCTGGATTGTTGATTGAACACAGGAGGAAAAGGGGATGACAGAGGATGAGATGACTGGATGGCATGACCAACTCGATGGACATGAGTTTGAGTAAACTCCAGGAGTTAGCCATGGAGAGGGAGGCCTGGCATGCTGCAGTCCATGGGCTCACAAAGAGGTGGACATGACTGACACAGGTGTACAATATCCTTGGATCTTATTTATTTTATACTTAGTACTTTATACCCTTAGTTCCTTTCCCATATCCTTCCCTCCCTCCCTTTCTTCTCTCCCCAATGGGAATAGCTAAGTGTTCTCTGTATCATTATAGAAAATACCTTCTTCCAACAACACAAGAGAAGACTCTACACATGGACATCATGAGATGGTCAATACCAAAATCAGATTGATTATATTCTTTGCAGCCAAAGATGGGGAATTTCAATACAGCCAGCAAAAACAAGATCGGGAGCTGACTGTGGCACAGACCATGAACTCCTATTTGCCAAAAGACTTAAATTGAAGGACATAGGGAAAACCACTAGATCATTTGGGTATTATCTAAATCAAATCCCTTACAGTTATACAGTGGAAGTGGCAGATTCAAATGATTAGATATGATAGACAGAATGCCTGAAGAACTATGGACAGAGGTTTGTGACATTGTACAGGAGGCAGGGATCAAGACCATTCCTGAGGAAAAAAAATGCAAAAAGGCAAAATGGTTTTCTGAGGAGGCCTTACAAAAGCTGTGAATAGAAGAGAAGTGAAAGGCAAGAGAGAAAAGGAAAGATATACCCATTTGAATGCAGAGTTCCAAAGAATAGCAGGGAAAGATAAGAAAGACTGCCTGAGTGATCAATACAAAGAAATAGAGAAAAATAATATAATGGGAAAGTCTAGAGATCTCTTCAAGAAAATTAGAGATACCAAGGAAACAATTCATTCAAAGATGGGTTCAATAAAGGACAGAAAAAATATGGACCTAAAAGAAGCAGAAGATTTTGAAAAGAGGTAGCAAGAATACACAGAACTATAAAAAAAGATCTTAACAACCCAGATAATCACGATGGTGTGATCACCAACCTAGGAAGTATCACTACGAACAAAGCTAGTGGAGGTGATAGAATTCCAGCTGAGCTATTTTAAATCCTAAAACATGATGCTGTGAAACTGCTACACTCAACATGCCAGCAATCTGGATTGTTGATTGAACACAGGAGGAAAAGGGGATGACAGAGGATGAGATGACTGGATGGCATGACCAACTCGATGGACATGAGTTTGAGTAAACTCCAGGAGTTAGCCATGGAGAGGGAGGCCTGGCATGCTGCAGTCCATGGGCTCACAAAGAGGTGGACATGACTGACCGAAATGAACTGAACTGAACCGTGAACATGAGGATTCACATACCTTTTCAATTTTGGATATATAACTAGAAATGGAATTGCTAGATCATATGGTAGTTGTATTTTTAATTTTTTGAGGGCTTGCTGTACTGGTGTCTATTTTGGCTGCACTAGTTTACATTTCCACCACAGTGTTCCCTTTTCTACACACTCTCACCAACATTTATTATTCATTGATTTTGTGATGAATGCCTTTCTGACAGGTGTAAGATGATAATTCCTGGTTTTGAAAAGACCCTGATGATTTATATTTCTCTATTTATTAGTGATGACAAAAATATTTTCATATGCCTGTTGGCCATCTGTACATCTTCTTTGGAAAAATGTCTATTCAGGTCTTCTGTCCATTTTTAAATTGGGGTGATTCTTTTTGATATTGTATTG